ATGAACATTTTTGGACGAGGACCTGTGTAGCTCAATTTAGTAATTGGAGTTTTGCTCCAATTGGTAATCCGGATACATGGGCGCCTGTCAGATGGAATTTGATACCACATTGGGCGAGGATCATCTTGAAGCCTAGACCCGGTCGCGTGCAAACGAGACACTATCGCATGCAAATGGATCGTCGAGCACGCTGCATAAATGATTGGGGACAGTGTACTAGATGCGGTGATCCAGAGCATGTCGTGGATGAGTGTCCGTCCTAACATCTTCGCACCGATAGGTCTAGACTTCATGATGTGTGGGGAAACTAGATTTGTTAGTGTTTATTTTGATTTGTTTTGATGGTTCATTTGGATTTGTTTGGATTTTTTATTTTGTTTTATTTGGATGGTTTATTTTATTTGAAGTTGTTTGGATGATTTATTTAAACCTTTGCTGTGGTATTTAGGGTAGATTGGCTGATTTGTTAGTGGAATTTTGGTTGTTTTGAATATTTAAAACAGGTTTTTTTGGGTTAAAGAATGGAAAAACCCAGTTTTTTTTAACTTACAGTATAAAACATATTTGTATAATACGTTTTATTTTAAAAAAATAAAACTAAAATGTATTACTAAAATACGTTTTAATTTATTTTTTTTAAAAAAAAATTAAAGAGTAAAACGGATTCTGAGAATACGTTTTATATATAAAAAAAATTATTGAAGGTTCGCGCTTGAGGTGAATCAAACCCGGGTGTGGGCGTTTCAAACCCTCAAGGCCGCCTTCGATACCATCCTGCCATTAGGCGATGACATTTATTTTTGCGCAAATTATATTCTTATTGTAGTATATAGTTTATAGTATATAGTTTATGACAAGTAGCATATATTGTATATAGTTTATAGCATATAGTATATAGTTTGTAGTATATAGTTTATAGTATATAGTTTATAATATATAGTATATAGTTTATAATATATAGCATATAGTATATAGTGTATAGTTTATAGTATATAGTTTATAATATATAGCATATAGCATATATTGTATATAGTTTGTAGGATATAGTTTACAGTATTTAGTATAGTATATATAATTTATAATATATAGTTTATAGTATTTAGTATATAGTATATAGTTTTTATAGTATATAGTATATAGTATATGATTTATAATATACAACATATATTGTATATAGTTTATAGTATATAGTTTGTAGTATATAGTTTGTAACATATAGCATATAGTTTGTAGTATATAGTTTATTGTATATAGTTTGTAGTATATGGTTTATAGTATATAGTATATATAGTTTATATATATAGTTTATAGTATATAGTATATATAATATATAGTATATTGTATATTGTATATAGCATATAGTATATAGTTTATAGTATATAGTATATAATATATAGCATATAGTATATAGTATATAGCATATAGTTTATAGTATATAGTATATAGTTTGTAATATATAGTTTATAGTATATAGTTTATAATATATAGCATATAGTATATAGTATATAGCATATAATATATAGTATATAGCATATAGTTTATAATATATGGTATATAGTTTATAATATATAGCATTTAGTATATACTTTATAGTTTATAGTATAGCATATAGTATATAGTTTATAATATGTAGTATATAGTTTATAATATATAGCATATAGTATATACTTTATAGTTTATAGTATATAATTTATAATATATAGTTTATAATATATAGCATATATTGTATATAGTTTATAGCATAAAGTATATAGTATTTAGTATATAATTTATAGTATTTAGTATATGGCATATAGAATATAGTTTGTAGTATATAGCATATCGTATATAGTATATAGCATATAGTATATAGTATNGTATATAGTTTATAGTATATAGTTAATAGTATTTAGTATATAATATATAGCATATAGTATATAGTATATATCATATAGTATATATAGTTTATAGTATATTGTATATAGTTTGTATTATGTAGTATATAGTTTGTAGTATATAGTTTATAATATATAGCATATAATATATAGTATATAGCATATAGTATATAGTATATAGTATATAGTTTATAATATATAGCATATAGTATATACTTTATAGTTTATAGTATATAGTTTATAATATGTAGTTTATAATATATAGCATATATTGTATATAGTTTATAGCATATAGTATATAGTTTGTAGTATATAGTTTATAGTATATAGTTAATAGTATTTAGTATATAGCATATATTATATAGTATATAGCATATAGTATATAGTATATAACATATAATATATAGTTTATAATATTTAGCATATAACATATAGTTTATAGTATATAGTATATAGTATAAAGCATATAGTATATACTTTACAGTTTATAGTATATAATTTATAGTATATAGTTAATAGTATTTAGTATATAGCATATAGTATATAGTTTATAGTATATAGCATATAGTATATAGTATACAGCATATAGTATATAATATATAGCATATTATATATAGTTTATAGTAAATAGTTTATAATAAATAGTATATAATTTATAATATACAACATATAGTATATACTTTATAGTTTATAGTATATAGTTTATAATATATAGCATATATTGTATATAGTTTATAGCATATAATATATAGTTTGTGATATATAGTTTATAGTATATAGTTAATAGTATTTAGTATATAGCATATAGTATATCGCATATTATATATAGTGTATAGCATATAGTATATAGTTTATAGTATATAGTTTATAATATATAGTATATACTTTTTGTTTTGTCCAACATTATATTATTATACAATAGGCTACCTATTATAACTATTTCATTTGTTTATACGTTCTAAAATATAATATTCTCAAATAAATACAACCCGTGCTCAAATAAATACAGCCCGAGATCTTTAATAATATATTATTTTTGTTTTGTCGAATATTATATTACTGTACAATTAGGCTACCTATTATAACTCTTTCATTTGTTTATACATCTTAAAATATAATATTCCTCAGATAAATACAACCCGTGCTCAAATAAGTACAACTCGTGCATCGCACGAGTCACGCACTAGTTCATTTGTTTGAGTTATACCTTTTCATTTTCAATTCTTTTAGATTTCTTCCAAAATAACACTACTACTAGTTTTTATTTAAAAGAATAGATTGGATGTAAAATGGGAGGGTCAAAAGGTTCCCACAAAAATAATAATAATGAGATTGGCGGGGTAGCTATTGTTCCGTTGATAAACTGGAAATAGGAGAGTCCTACTCATCCATAACTGGTAGCTGATTTTTAGGCCTAATTATTGAACATTTGAATGTTTATACTAAATTTATGTGAATCAATCTTTACTTGCACCGTACATCCATAAGTTAAATACATTAGCGCAAGCAATATTACTTGTAAATAGCTTAGAAACCGTTAACCTCGTTGAATAGAAGGCGATGAAAAAATATAATATATAACTATTAAAAAAAGAAACATAAATTAAGTACAAACATCGCCCTACTCTACCGATATATACATTTAATACCACACTTGATAAATTTTTGATATCCTCATCATCTATAAAAAAAACTCTACCCTAAGTTTTTCCATCATCGAGAAAAATTAGAAAAATATAAAGATCCCTCAGAAAAAACAAACATAAGTTTACACAAGGAAAAAGGTGAAAACTTTGAGCCTCTCTTGATGTTATTTCTCTAAAAACTACCCAAATCACATGAAAAAAAACTTCTGTCACGTTTGGTAAGTCCCTTTCGCACTATCTTGCTTCATCTCAATCTTATTGTTATTTTAGATTTCCATTATTTCTTCCACAGTAAACAACAATAAACTATATAATATTATCAATGCCATTTGCTTTCATTATTCCACATTTACATCATTCTGTTCATTGGAAGATCAAATTCATGGCTTTTTATTTGTTCTGTCAGGAGGATGCTTAGTTTGATAATCTTTTCTTGTTTAATNTTATTTTCTAAAAATTATATATGCATTAATGATATGGGGAATCATGGGAAAGTGGGTTAAAATAAAAATGGGATTTTGGAATCCGAAAGAGTGTCAGAGTGAAAAGGGATAGATCGAGTAGAATAGAATAGAAAAGAGAGGATCTTTTGTTTAATGCAATAGTACATAGTATTTTCATATCATTACAGTAATTTCATGTCATATCTTGGATTGTCAGAGAAAGATTATTATGCATAGCCTCATATAGACTGCCTGCAATTTCATCCACTTCATTTATAGCCTTTTGCATGCGCAAATGCAATCTCTTGAGAGAGAGAGAGAGAGAGAGAAAATTCTATTATTATGCTTAATATTATTAATTGTTTGAAGGCCAGCCACATATACAAGACTCTATTTTTCTTGAAAAACGTCACATTTCTGATTTATGAGGTTATTTCAATTTTCCCCATTTTCCCTTTTGTTAAAATGAAATTAAACCCTATGTATTCTATTGAATTGAATAAAAAGCTGCTCTGCTTTTTCTTGCATCCATGGTACATTTATGGCTTATGACAAAATAAATCCTCTTAAAATCAATAGTTCTGAGTTTTTTTTTCAAACAATAGTAGACTAGTTCTCAGTTTCAATGTTATTATTATTATTAAGTGTTAGAAGTTTGCTTATAGACAGACTATGATGATACCATCAGCATTTGCATGAAAAAGTGTAACACATAGCTGGCCTTCTGTTTTTCCCCTTTTTTCTTACATGTAATTATACAAGTAAAAGTTGGGGTTATTAAATTTTCTTAGTTGTATTGTATGTATGCAAGTAAAGTATGCCTTGGGCTGTGGGATTTTTCTGGTGTTTGGAATTAGTTCATGTCATTGAAGAAGGGCAGTTACTGTTCACAACTGTACTCACAAATCTGGTGTTGCCTTTTGTCCTTTCTGTTTTCTAAAGTAATGCTCTCTCTCTCTCTCTCTCTCTCTCACTCTCACTGGGTTTTATATGTGTTCAAATTTGAAGTTTTATTGTCTTTTTGTCTTTTAGCATTTCAAAGATTTTGGGGTCTTTCCACTTCATCTTTTGTTTTGGTTTGAAAGCTCAAATTAAACTCTCTCTCTATCTCTCAAACTCTCAAGTCACATTGTCTCACAAATGTGGTATTTTCATTTGACTCTCTATTGACATGTATTTTGTTATTTTTTTTTTCTTTTCATTGAAAATTCAGTTTAAAAAGGAAATTTAGATGATGAGTGGAGAAGGAAGTGAAGGAGTGAAGTCTAGTCATCATCCTTACCCACCTCCTTTGGCTACGTATGAAGATGTTGCCAGCTCACGTGATCTCTTTACAGACACTCTCAAGAAGTTTCATGCTTCTATGGGAACTAAATTCATGTACCAATCATACTATAATACCCTTTGTTTTTATATTTTCCTTTCATTCTTTTTCATACTGTTTATGTGGCTATTTTGTGTTTGATAATTGAAACTCAGTAGCTTTCACTGAGTTTTGCTCTAGTTTTATGTTGGATTTTTTGATTTCTGAAATTATGAAGAGAACCAATTCTCAAGTTTCAAATGAACTAAACAATGAATTTATAGCATATTTTTTTTTTTAATGAAAATTTTTTGACTTTGTTCCAGTTTAGTTAGTTTATTGAAATGTTGAGAAGTGTTGAGAAGATAGATTACTAAAAGTTAATAACGGATGATTGTAGGAATGGACCACCAATAGTGAAAT